ATATACTASTTAAGATATAATCCTTAATCAATGAGCCATATTYTYTAAGGTGGATTTTTTTCTGAATTTGTGCAGAGWTAGCTGTATTCGTTCTGCCTTTCCCTTTAGATTTTCATGTACAATGTACATAACTCAGCTGGTGTAGGTGCATGGCCGAAAGGCAAGGTTAACTAAACTTAAAATAAACAATGCTTGATTTAGAAATGTTTAAATTTACCAAGCATGCCTTATTCCATTTTACTAATTCTTACTGGTAACTACCAGTTATTTTAATGAATGTTTAATTCAAAACCAACACAGTTAAATCAATAAATAAAGGTATAATACTAATAACAGAAATAACCAAAAACTTAGCACACCTTGCAGGTATTCCAGCAGCTCTCCCACTTCAATCACCAAGTGAGTAAATATGATTTTAATGATTAAACAGGACACATTAGAGTAATTTACAATTATAATTACGTACAATAACAGTGATAAAATACAAGAAACTGTAATAGTAACAATAACAAAAGTAATGGTGAAAGTTAAAACTGGTTGAATGGACATAAATTTAAAGTAATGCACTATGTAAATGTATGCAATAAATGTATTTTAATGAAATATGAATCACTGCTTACTGTTTGCTCTTTCTTTTTACAGTACACTATGGTGGGTTAGCTCTTGGTAGATCAGGTGTCCAACAGCCCCAGCCAAATCAATTCAATCCATTTGGAAGAAAAAGATCAGTTGTTTCTAGACCATCAAAGACACAATAACTCACATRAGAAACTGTGCTGAGGTGAATAAAACAGATTTGGACGTTTTTTACCTTATACCTTGAAAATCCACAAAAATASATGCAATATTCATGCCTGTCTCCTCATCTTAAGATGGTCTGATGATACCGATGAAGTATCTGAAAGGTTTGATTAGAGCAATGAGTTTAGACAAAATAGAGCAAGAGCTGTACAACCATGAAAAAAAAATCAAACTAAATACTAACAAATAGCGGCATTTTAGAGACAATTTGTCCGTCAGTATCAATGAACCAGAACAGAATGAAGATAAATCCAAATGTGAACATTTTCTGTCATCTTTATTGCGTTCTGGTTCATTGATATTGACAATTTGTCTCTAAATAGGCGTTATTTGTTAGKATTTMGTTTGATTTTATTTCATGGTTTCACTATATTTGTTTTATGATAGATAACATTCAAACAAAAAGYAGTAAGCTCAACATTAACCATGTTTTTGTCATTCAATGTTTGCAGACTATTCGTAAAGTCTCTTATACATGCAAGTGAGAAGAAAACAAGAAAAACAGGAATAACCTGAATTTATTTTGTAGAAATTATTCTTCCAGGAATACTTCAGATGTTTTATAATTGAACTACAAATTGTAGTAAAGAATCACAAATCTCAAGTCATTGAACAAATGCATGATATTTAGTACTAACCATGTACAAAACTTGAGATTTGTCATTGAATAAAAAAGAGTCTCTGATTCTCTAAGTGTGGTTACATTGTCTTGTTATTTCAATAGTCAAAGGTATCTTTCCCTTTTTATAAATGGGTGTAGTGGGATACCTGTATAGGGGCATGTAAGGAGGTATGGCTAATGTCAATTATTTGTTGCTAAGGGGAGTRTTGACACAATGATTAGCACAGTAACAAAAGGATGAGAAGCAGGTTCACACCACAGGGAGCCCAGCTTCATGATCAAAGCAATCAAAATATAGATCTGTTAGCATTTCATTATAGATAAGTYACCTTCCATTAATGTCTGTCAGATCAAACAGTAATATAATGTGACAAAATTTAAAGCATAATGGATAAGAAGAATGACAAAAAATTCGCTCTTCAGGGTTGGGGAGTGCATTTCAAAAGCCACTGTTACCATCCAGATTTGACAGAATAGAGTGTGAATTAAATAGTTTAACATACTGAATGCTTTGGTCATGAAGCTGGGTCGCCTGAGCTCCAAATGTAAAAATTTCTATTCGTATCCTTGAAAAACTAGTTTGTGTTGATACTAAAAGCTTGAAATAGCATTTCATCCAATAGGGTTAAGCTTATTGAAAGATTTACTAGAACAAAATCAAAATTGACTATTTATCAAAGTTCTTTTTTTAACAACTAAAATTAGTTCGCTAATTTACCAAGTTTTTGACTAGAGTGCTCGTACTTAAAGCGTGAAACAAATAGTACTAATTACTACTAAATAGTGTTGATTATACAATAGGAAACAAAGGAATTTGTATAATCACCTATTTTGTAGTATTTATATTTCACGCATTTAGTGCGAGCACTCTACCTCCGCCCCTAATAATTCTAAGACTAGTGGTTGGTTCCCTATATGCAATAATGTTTTTGCTATATTATATATCCCCACATTTTAGCTTGTGTACATTGTACCTTACACAGTCTATAGCACAATATGTATTGCATTTTTAAATGCATGTTAAATCCATGTTACGGAAAGGGAAAGACATGATACGCACTAAATATCATTAAACTTAAATTCTTAATCTAGTAAAATCAGCAGCGCCTCTTTTATCCGATCAGCTTTAGCCAAGAATRTAATTAATACAATATTGACRGCCTACCTGCTCTAAAAYATCGTCCAAATGTCCTCCAAAATACATAAAATTCCACAAAGAATAGTTTATGATCCAATAATTGGCCATCGTTGACAAATAAACCAGTAAAAAGACAAAATCTTTAACAATGATTTTCAAGTATGGCGCTCTTTAGCTTGTTTTCATAAATGGCAGTTGCCGCTGATATCAGAATCTAAGGGCTCAGAGGTCAAGTAGTCCACAGGAAGCCCAGTAATAAGGAAATGRAAGGAAAAGGAGAAATGACRTTAATACTCCCACAATATCCATAATATGACAGCGTTCTGGTATTTTATTGCAATCTACTGTACTAATATTTTTGCATAGATGTATATCCTATCGGACAAGTCGATTTTATATGAATTATATTCTGCAAATTTAGCTACTTACATAAGAAATTCATTATTCTTTTTAAATCTTTTGAGTTCCAAATTCTCATTTACAGTTTCACGAAAATTAATCATTCTTCTTTTAGTTTTCCATCTTTGAATTTACAAAGCTTTTTTGCAGTGGTTTGGTCTTTTATTCAATCATTTTTGGCGCTCTCTAGAGCTTTAATAATATCCCGAGATGCATTATTTTCTTCTGATTCCGATAGTCTTATAGTACCAGTAGATTTAACAGTGTTAACCTCCATTTCTGCTTTCTCTATAGCCTTACGTAAGTCAGCATTTTCCTCATTTACCCCTGTAAATTGTTCTTTTGCTGTAAAATGTTTTTGATCTTTCAGTGCGTTATCTACAGGTCTGTTATRTTCATGCATTTTGTTGAAGCTATTTGGCTTGGTATTGCTCAACACGGTTCTCGCGATWGTATTTGCAAAATTGTTTGCCATATATTCTCTGTAAGCTGCTTTGCCCAACTGGTTATATGAGCTGGAAAGTGGCTTTGTRATGTTCATTTCATTGTTTTTCTTGTTGYCCCTTAAAGTTTTGYTAGTTTTCTTGGTAKTTTTCATGAGATTTGCTTGGAGATGACCTCGTTCATTATTATTATYATTTTTGACGAGATGCGYACTATTTTCATCCAAGTCTTCACCACTTGAAACATCATTAATCGCTTTGAGAAGGTCAGAATATGCATCTACCTCATTATAATTATCATGCTGAAAAGTTGCATTTGTGTTTGTTTGTGCCYTAAAGGAACCAGTTGTAGTATTTTTTGCTCTTGTATTAGCAGGCATTTCTGAAAATTTCCAGCCAGGCAAAGCGGCACCTAAAGCTTTTTGTAGTGTCCTTATATACGATAAATGACTTTGCTGATTTATTTTACCAGCAATGGACCCCTGCGCTCCCTTGAAATTAGCTTCATGGAACGGGTTGATTTGAGCTCGGTCATAAACAATGCTGTCATCCTCCTCTTCGCTATCGTCATCTTCTTCTTCATCCTCACCTTTCTTTTGCTTCTTTTTCTTACTGGATTTCCACTCCCAGCTTCCACCTCCTCCCTTAGAACCACCATTTTTTACGCTCCACTGTCCTCCTCCTCCTCCAGCAGCTCCAGCTCCAGCTCCTCCTGCTCTGCCCCCTGCACCTCCTCTTCCTCCAGCACCACCTGCAAYAGAGCCACCTCCACCACCAACCGCCATACCTCCTGCACCACCAACTCCTCCTGCTCCTCCGGCAGCTCCTCCTCCAGCACCACCTCCAACCCCTCCGGAACCACCAACTCCCCCTGCCCCTCCGGCAGCACCTCCACC